ATAATGGTACCATTTTCGCAGCATATTTTATTCAGAAAATATGCTTTTATTTTCATCCAAAATTTGTTCTGATTTTCTATTGTAATAAAATTGTGAAAGTTGATATATAAAGGAATACGTATTAAAATTACATTATACATATTGAATATATAAAAAAGACGTGAATAATCGTATCAAAAACCTACAATAATACGAATAATATGCAATAATTTAATTTTATATTAATATAGAAATATGTTGGCAATATAAAAAAAATTCGACACAAAAGATTAAAATGAATCTAATGTTATGCCGTCGCCTTGTTGCGTGTCTAAACCGGCATGTTCTGCATTGGTATGAAGAGACGTCGCTGCTACAAGTTGATGAACTTAGAATATCAACTGGCGAAGACACAGCATCGGGTTGCGTTATGTCGCGTTATCACGCGGACCAAGTGGATTTCTAGCATGATACCTAATGCCATTCGGATAATCCCGAGGGCTCAGGAATAAAGCTTAGCTTCGGAACATCCGCTCCGTGCTGAAAGCTGCACTTAATACGAAGAGGTTTGCAAAACGCATTTCACTATTCATCCTCGGCCTTTTACGCGATGGTTGCATCAGAAAGGATAAGAGAGGAAACGGAGAGAGAGAAAGAGATTCGGCGTACAGCAAGGCAGGATAGTTAGGATAAACTGTACACGTCGACATAGTATAAAGTGGACTTCCGCGCTGAATGACGTTTTAATGTACTTGTACGTTACTCGTATATCAAAGGAAACGTGGCGGCAAAACGCTCGCGGATATCTTTCAACGGGGATTTTAAGCGGAAGCGTGAAATGAATAAACGTCTATATATTATTTGCACGGTGTGAACAATGCACGTTCATTCTTCTCCACACGAGATATTCAATATCACGGCGTGAATGTGGTGAGACATCAATGTGCAATGTCAAGGATATATGAATCGCATACTCGCCATACTCGCGTGTATTCTTGCTGGAAATATATGCGTTTTAATATGTCAGCTTCTCTTTTTTCAAGAACAACGCTTCTAAATTTAAAGATATATCATTCTTTACGATCAGTGCTATTTTTTTTATTTTGAAGCTACATTAGCTACATTTTAATTTTCTTTTTTCAGTAAGATAATACCTCAAAGAATTTAATATTTGACAAAAATTTTATTTATTATAGAATGAAAAAACATATAAATTTTCACCAGAATTTTGCTTATTATTACATGAATAGCGCGGTATAAGACAGTGCAACGTGAATACGAGCTATAATGCCTAATTAACAACAACTGGAGTATTTTATCCGACACAAGCTGGACTAAAGAAATGTGAAATATTGTTTGCTGTGATCAATAGGATGGTGCATTATCGTGCGCTGATTTGCATTCAATAGATGTCAATTATACGTCAGCTTGAATCAAGCTTGAATACGAGATATAGTCTCAATAATGTTGTTGCGATTATTGAGCGTTTCTCTATGAATGTCGCGAAAAACAAATGCGGGCGCTTTGATGCCACTTCATACCATAAACATGCTAATATAATAGCTAAATGTTATAAATTCAATCTTGAATATGTCGTTTATTAATTAAGAAATTAATGAAGATATTAATAAAAAAAAGTATCCTTTTAAAAACATTTTTACATATTAGATTTTTAATAATTTATATAGTTTGTTATTATTTCGCGTATATTGCAAATTGAAAATATTACATGTACAGGTTTATTAGCGATGATAGTTAAGTTGCTCGATGATACTTTCGAAATATTTAATTGCCGGAACGTTGAGACTTCATCGAATATCGTTATCGCACGGTAGCTCGCGGAAACCGGAATGTTAATGAATGAGGTAAACGGCGCGTAATTAAATTTTGAATATTATGCCACGTGCATGCATTAAACACAACGTTGCACTACGTCGATCACTTTCAAACTTGTTTCTGCCTCGTCTGTTCAAATGCAAAATATGCTCCAGTATTCAACAGTTTCCACAATACGAGTATAACACTGTACACAAGTCAAATGCCGATTGTGCTCTTTGACAAACAAAAGAATCATCGACCAATGTATAGCTTGTATGTACATATATATGCTTTCTATTCAGTCGATGATACGATATGTAGGGAGTGCGTGCGATTGTTGCTTTGACGCTGTGCTTTTAACCGAGATGCATGACGACGACGTACCGACCGTAAAAATTTCATCACGCGGATTCGTGGTTCGATGCTACGACGATCGATAAAGTTATTGTTTCCGCACATTCAAACAGCAAACTGACTTTAGTGAAACCGTATGGCTAGAATGCACATTGCCCATAATGTTGAATATAACGTCAACATTATACAAAAGCATATAGGAGAGACACAAAGGTGCAAAATCCAATTAGTTCGCGTCATATAACTTGATGACTCAATAAAAATAATTGTAAATAGAAAGCTATGACGATCTCAGCATTTACCTCAGATATTATATTGTTGTACGTTACGTTACGTGCACTCTTGCAAAAAGAGAAATTGTTTTTTATTCTTTTTATATATATTCTTTCATTATTCTTCCAATTAACTTTGCAGAAATTCTTTAAAACAAGCTTTATAAATTATTTTCTTATTTCGAGAACAGGATATCTGGTTACGGTTGATGAATTAGGCAATCTTGTTTAATCACTCGAAGATACTCAACAATTTATTACAACACAGGAATTGTGAACAAGTGTTAGTTCTTTCGGTAATTAATTATCCGAAGCTGGTGGAAAGATAAATATCCGACTAACAAATTAGACTCGGGTGTTCGGAAAATGCGATCTTTGTAAGATCGAAAACTTTTGCATTTGGTCTCGTCTTACCTTACGTTATCTTTTCTTTGGTTTCTACCTTGCCAAGAAACTAGAACCTCTTGGATTCCCGACACGTTTTTCAGTCACATCTATCCGATTAATTCTCGCCGGGCCGGCAGAAAGGGCAATGTTAGATCGCTTTAAATTGCTACGAATTACCTCGAGCGGCGGTTCCAACGATTTACTTTCTACCTCCCCTTGCATTCCATTCACCTGCGAGCCACCCTTATCGACCTTAAAAGCAACATCTATCCTGGTTATTATTCCGGGGCTACGCGAAAGCTCGTGGATTTAAGGTGGGCCGCCGCACCGGTGTGGCAAAGGAGAACAAAACGTGACAACTAGAGAAGAGAAATCCGCGATTTTTATCGGTCGGCACTAAGACAAGGGTTTACGCGGCAAATTGCATCGTTCTCTATTCCGTTCACTCTACTCCTACCATTAAAATTTAAAGGTTTTAAAAAATTTTAAATTAAAGTTATGTATGTTTAAATATACAGAATGTCTCAGACTAACCGTCCTGAGGTCATTTAGAAACGAAACTTGTTATTCCATTATCGAGTTTACAATAATTTTGAAGTGCAAAGTGTTTAAAGTTGATTAATCAGATTGTCAAAAATTTACGCGCTCAGGCTCGTTGCAAATTGATTTTTACATTCTTAATCAAAATTTGTATTACTCGGTTCGTCACTGACGGGTATGATCGGACGCGCTGTTGTTAATTTTTATTTTGTCTAGCACGGTATCTTGTAAAGAGAAAATACTTTACAAAATAACGAATTATCACACCGTACTAATTGGCGCACACGATCGTAATTACTCGTGTTTTGTCGATCAGTATCCTTGTAAATTTGTGTTGGCAACAACAATGAGCAGTCAGCGAGAATGTAACGGTAGTGTATCGGTTGGTGAGTAAATATTTCGTGTTGCGAGGAGTGTAAATTTACTAGCAAATACATTGAACTTTTTGCAGTTAGAAGTCAGCGAACGTTGGTAGTGTCGCGTAAACCGACAGGCTATCGCTACGCTTTACGTTGTGCAATTGTCACCCGCTACAGAATCAAAAACGAAAAATCGTGGAAATTTTTCTAAGAAAATCAAGGAACACACACTATTCGATTTTTTTATACTTAATTAAAGGATATATTTAGTTAAATAAGGCCAAAGAAACATATTGCGGCATTTATTCGATAATAATCACATTATTTTATATGTACCAGATTTTATATTATTTAGTTCGTCACTGACACGCATGGTGGCGCGCATAGCTAATTTTTATCCCGCGCTTTACTAGCGCGGTTATCTTCACTCTTGTAATAGATTGATGAAAAATCACTTGTGCGTATTGAATTGTTCTTGTGCATTTTTATAACAAATTTTGCGTATGAATAAACATCCAGTGTCGAAAATATTTAAAGGATGGACAAACGTCGTAATGTGATATGTGTGATCGTGATCGATCGTGTTTTTCGGCATTGGTAAGTACCTATCGTGTCGCATCGAATCCTTTATTTAGGTTATATTAGTAAACTTTGCATGCTAGTTGCTCATAAAAAACACATTGAATATTAAGAATAACGAAAAGATTTGAACATTAAAGCAACAGTAATCAACTTTTTCTTGATTATGTTTACATTTATGATAAAATTTTTTACGTTGCAAAAATATGAAGTTGAATATGTAGAATTTTTCGCAGTCGGATCTCGTTGAACGTAGGTAGTACCGTGTAAACCGCTGGACTAGCCGCGTTTCACATAGCTCAATCGTCGTTAGTGCATCACGGATGTAATAAACGTCAGGAGTGCAGTACAAAATGACGGGCGAGATCACTGCATTGCGTTAATTAACACACGGGATTGTAATTAGGGGCGTTCTCTCGGTCGACTTGTATTCTTGCGAGCGAATCGATAAGGATTTCGACGATAGTCGAATAGTGCATCCAGTGATGTAGACATTTTTTTATTTGCATGATTTATCATTCGTTTAGGTCAATACACAAGTTTTATACGATATGCATATTTTTTTACGAACTCCTTCAAAATGTATATGTTTTGTATATTTTAACAATAAAATTCACATTGATTAAAAAAATATTACTTTTTTCTCGCACACGCTTTTTTTTTTATTCTGTTTAAAATGCTGTTACACTTCTAATATGTACAATTTTTATAGGTGTTGTAGTCGATGGTGCGACAGATTCCGACGGCGGAGAGGCATCAACTGGTGAGTGAATTCATTCATTATAATCCCATGATACAAATTGCTTGCTCATGCAAATATGTGTAAATACATTAACTTTTTTGCAATCCTTTCACCATCTATATTTGTCAAAATGTTATACGATTATACGATTTTGTATCGACTATTTTGCCGCTTACGTGGCACGTGCCATTCCCGGAAAAATTCCGGATATATGACGATATTTTTCTAACCTACATTCAGCAAGCTATATATACGCGTACATCGTGCTTTGAGATCATGTTCATGTTCATGTTTCGAAATCACTTTTATGTTTGTGCAAAATTGCCAAAAACTATCTTTAATATAAAAATATTGCTGCTTTAACTTTATTTCCAAATATCTAACTTATATTCTGGATGAACTTTTGAGACTTTCTTTATTTATATTGTATTTCTAATTACGATATTAGAGGATCTTCGGTGACTTTTCATCAATATGAGTATCCGCGTCGAAAACATATGCAATGGTTGCAAATACGTGTTTAACAATATATTTAAAATTTGTTATAAATTATGTTAAACTAAAAATTAAAATATTAAAAAAAAGATTAAGTTATAATCAAGAATTGTAAATCTGTCATTTTTCTCAATTTATTTATTGATTCTGATATCTTTTCTTAGTTTCATTTGTAGAAATTAGAGTTGAATTCAGTTTATCAAAGTATTGCGGCTAAAAGAAAATACTGAAGCAATTAACGACATTGCACACAAAGCGCGCTTAACGTTCCGCAATGTTTCTACACAGTGGATTACCAGAAACGTGAAAAAAGAATGAAAAAAAAATAATTAAACGCGAACTGTATGTCTGGTGCTTAGCATTCAAATGGTTTGTACGCGTTGCATCGCGGTATTCAAATGTGGAATGTAATTCCATTCAGTTTTGTAAATGTTGCAAACGACGATACGACAGTCTGTATATTTAACTTTCGTTTTTCTTTTTTTTTATGTCTCATTAATTACGCTTTTCTCGTCACTAAGAGTTCACTTTATTACAACAGAACACATATACTTGCAACCGATGCATTTGGTTCTCTTTTGCAGGTGTGTAATTAACGCGTTATAAACACAATACAATGCAAAGAGCCGTACATATCCAGTGCATTAAGCACTTCGATATACCGAGGTTTTGATTATAACATATTACGTCTGCTGGCGTCCGTCAGAAGCAAACCATACCGAACGTTATCAGTTACTAGTATAATTATACTACA